CAGTAACAAAGTGGGGAGAGGTGACCCCAGGACAAAATTGAGCCGACATTGTAGCTTCCTGGTATTGTGATTCTAGTATTTTTAATTGCTCTTTTGTAAGCTTAAATTCAGATAATCTTGTCTTCTAGTTCCTGCAGTAAGCATTTATCTCTTCAATAAAATGTTCTTAGTAAATGGCAAGCATATGTCTCCACTTCCTTTGCAAAGGCTGCTGATGTGTGTAATCTTGTAGAAAGTCTAACCAGAAAACATAGGACCTTTCTTGTTTCTAATAAGCTTTAACAAGCTGTTTCCTTCAGAGTGTAGTCTTCCAGTGTCCTAGAGCTTCTGGAAATAGGTAGAATATTGCTTCGTTGAAATATACAGAACCAACCTTGATGAACAATGAAATAAATTAGTATATCTTTCAAAAAGTAAAGCTAGTCTGTATAATCTGTTATAGGATTTTGGAAACAAAATTTACCTAAACAAAATTTTCTCTGAAGCATGAATGCGTTGCCAAACAGAACTCCTTTAGACATGGACTGCCAGGATCAAACAAATCTAGTATGGATTCTAAGCAGGCTACTATTTATACAAGTTGTAAACAAGGAAGGCAAAATCTCTGGACCTTTGTAGAAGCCCCTGGTAGTGGTTACCATCAGTCCAAGGCATACTTGTATAGTACTGACTATGCATTTGTTTTTCCTCTTATAAGTTGCAAATTCTTGGAAGATGGCTACCCCCCAAGGTTTACTGTGCATAACTCAACCTCAGGCTGACTGTAATGAGGATGGCAGATTTACATGATCTGTGGACTGAGATTAACAGTAGGGAGGATGGATAATAGCCCTTGTATTACCACAGAAATGACTGCTGGATGAGCATAGGATAACAGTTCTAAAAAGTTGTGGGATAGTAAAATGAGTTAAGTTGGCTCTGCCATCCAGAGTAGAGTTACAGTCTTCTAGGTCAATTGACGTCAATGAGCTTAGAGGGGTGTTCTCTCCTTATGGCACTGTGGGATACTGTTCTTCCCACTACACTATGCTGTGCTACTTTGTATCCATGGAAGACCCCTACCCACATTATGCCCTGAAAATGAAAGATGGGGTTAACATTTAGAAATATTACTCCTGAATTGTCAGATGCAAAGAACTGCAGACTAAGAAGTTTGAGTAAATGAGTTTTGAAATGTGAGTTGGATTTGGGGAATCCCCAACCCAACTCTCATTTGAAGTGTGCCCTAGTACTCACCTTAAAAATGGCGGGAGAGCCAGGTTGACTGTGGAATGCAGCATAGCAGCAGGAAAGATTCAGCATTTCTTCCATTCTGTCCTGCATGGTTTGGCCAGGGAAAATGGTCACCGGGGACCGGCTGTTTGTCCACTGCCAGTTCCTCATGTCTGCCCAGGAAATGTGGAACTGGCAGTAGGACAAACAGCTGTCATCCCCCCTGGTGATTTTCTTCTGGTGAAAGCGTGTGGGGTAGAAGGGAAGTGAATGCTGAATTCTCTACTGCCCACACACTCCACAGTCAGTTTGCCCACCCGCAACATTCTTAAGGTGAGTACCGAGTCAGAAGTGAAGTACAATTTGGGGTGGAGTTTCCCCCAACCCAATTCACATTTCATGTCTTATGTAATCAGATTCTAATGCAGGTAAATATGGTTGCAATGAGGTTTATACCATGTAGAAATCAATTTAGGAATCTGTACTAAAAAAAATTATGTAGGCTCTTAGTTCAGATAAGTCAATGGACTCTTCTCAGTGCAGCCCTGGAAGGAGTATGTGAAATGAATGGGTGACTGGCTTCCCCCTTGTCACTGGGTAGTCAGCCAACTTCTCACATGCTGAACTAGAGTGCAAGCATTCCTTATTAGAATGTAACTAAGTCAGATGGAAGTAGGTCCTCATTAGGTTTTCCATATTTGAATCCCCTTCTTATACTGCATTGTTTATTGGATGCATTATACTGTTTTCATTTCATTTTTTAAATTGTAATCAATTTTGTTTTTTATATATATATACCATTATGTAACTTTAACTAAAAAAAATACAAATAACAAAATAAATAACAATTTGTAAATTGTTAATGCACCAGTACTTAAGTTCAATTTGCATTAAAAGAGCCTATTCAAAGTTAATAAAATGCAAAGTCCATGTATTTCTTAGGCAAAGTACATGCTTCTTTAGGGTTAGATGTAACATTTTTTTAAAAAAGGAAACCATTTTTCAACAAAGTCATATTCCTTTGTCGGAGTTTCAGCCACAACCAATTGTGTTGCAACTTTATCCATTGCCGCAATATCCCATATTTTAGAAAACCATTGTTTCAAATAATGTATTTTGTTGAGTTTCCAAAATTGAGCTAAAGGTATTTTGGTTGCTATAAGTAATAAAGAGGCTAATTTGGTTTTATGTTTTGATAAAAATTGACCAGGCCAAAAGTTAAGTAATACGGATTCAGGAGTGTTGGGTATAGGTTGTCCCAAAATCCTATCTATAACTGATGTGATAGTTGTCCAAAAGCTAAAAATTCTTGGGCTTCCCCACCAGCAGTGCTAAAAGGTTCCTGTTTTCCACAACCCTTCCAACAGCTAGAGTTCATCTTAAATTTGCACTGAAATGATCTCACTGGTGTCATGTACCATCTGGAATATATTTTAAAGTTTTGGAAATTTATGTTCAATGTTTTAGTGGTATAGAGGTAAGAGTCCCAGATACTATTTCAGTGGTTGTTGGGGAAGGCATGTCCACAGTTCTTTTGCCACGCTTGTTGAAGTGCGGTGGTCTGCGACCAAAGTTTTTGATTTAATAGTTGGTATATCACAGTTATTATGAGTCCCTTAGATTCTTGCGACCCTTTCTGTAACAGTGTTTCAAAAGAGGTAAGTGGTCTATTCAGTTGTGCGACAATAGTGGTATTATGGAGCATGTGATAAAGCTGATGATATTGCAGCCAGGATATTATAGTCTTGTGTTTCAATTCCAATTGTTGTACTGAACACAATTGGCCCTTCGCATAAATGTCACTCAGTTTATAAAGGCCTTTCTCTCTCCAGTTGCGAAAGTATTGATCTTGTCTACCAGGAGGGAACCAATATTTATTTTTGTTTAAAAGCTTTATTTCCTCTCCTAAAAAGGAGAGATATTTCGCTTAGTTAGAAAGGGGGAGGGTATATAGTGGGATCAAGAGAAAGGTGAGTGATGTTTTAACTGGTAAAGTTAATCTGTTAGTAATATTAGAATTTTCTTCTTTGGCTTCTTCTGTGAGTTGTCAAACTTCTTTTTTCAAACCGGTTAAATGGATTGTCTATGTTAATATATTAGTAGTGTCCCAATGGTGCTCCGCTAGCAAAGTCTTTTCCAACGATTTTTAAAACGATCATCTATGGGCTGGCTTCTTTTAATCTCCGAATTCAGGCAGGAGCTTCCTCTGTTTACTCCTCTCCGGCTTCTCGGCTCCTCCTCCGGGTCGCTGCTTCCGCTGTCTGTTTGCAAACTGCAAATGCCATAGTCCTTGTTCTCTCGTGCCTCTTCAAAAGGTCTCTGGCTTTGAGAATGGTTTTCTCCTTTTTCCATCTCTCGCTTATATGTTTAAACGCTGCCATTCTCTTAGCTGGACCTTCTCTCCGCAACTGTTGACTTATAAAAGCACTTTTCAGGGCACTTTCTCGCTTGTCACAGCTCAATTCTTTTCTCACAGTCCCACTCAAGGTCACAGTCACACACAATCTGTTTATTTAACAGCCGGCACAACAAAAGATGAAACGCCTACACCGGAAGTTCCTCCTTTCTTGTTTGCTAGTTTCACAGCTCAGCTCCGACATCTTGCTTTTTTGTTTACTTTTATTAAAGTTCAAATATCGCTTTTTTAAGACAAAAATCTTCTAGCCTCTTCTCAGGAGGGAACCAATATTGACCTAGGAATGCTGCTACCCGTGAAATACTGGGAGCCAAAACGTTTCTATACTTGTCCCAAAGATTTCGTGTAAACCTCAAAAATGGGTTGGGTGTGAGTGACATCTGTTGTCAGTGACTGTTTTTCAATTTGCTGTACCTCATAAGATTATTGGAAAAAATTAGCCCTGCATGCTGTACTGAGTTTCTTGGAGGAAGGGTGGGATAAATTAACTAACTTTTTAAAAACCTGTGAAATCTGATTATTACTAAACTCCCATCATGTCCAATATGCTTTGACAGAAAATAACTTCTAGAGAAGATCAGGAAATTAATCCCTACCAATACACACAACTGAATGCAAAAACTGCATCTGGCCCTTTTCTTTTGCACTCTGCATCTTATTTACGATACAATTGATGATGAACAGGTTTCTCTTTATTTTACCTCAACAGAATGTATTTATACAACTTTCATTGGCTTTCCGAAATGATAGTTACACTTTGGAATCGAGAATTAACCAGGCTGAGAGGGAGAGAAATCTTGCAGAGGAGAACACGGAGAAAGAACTGGACAATTTTAAAGTAGCTATTACGGTAAGAATGGCATAATGAATAGGGATAGGCATGAACCAACTCACAAACATAAGTTTGTGATGAATTTTGGGCGGTTCGCAAAGTGATGTTCACGAACTGAAGAGCCACTATAAACTTCCATGAATTTTAAGGCATTTGTGACAGTTCGTGAAGAGCAGAAAGTACATGCTTAAATGGCTTCAAGCCATTTAAACCCGTGCTTTCTGCTATTCATAAAAAACAGTTGAGTGGTGGCAAGCAGAAAGCAGAGGTTTAGGTGAGCAGTAAGCAGGGGGTTAAATGGCTTGGAGCCATTTAAAACCCTGCTTTCTGCTTCCCATGAAAAGCAGTGGGGAGCAGAAAGCAGGTGCCAGAAAGTTATATGAACTGGTTCAGTTCATGAATCAACCTCTTCGTTCATATCAGTTCATGGTTTGGTTTGTGGTTTGGCCTATCCCTAACAATGAAATTGCACTGCAGTTTGCACTTGAATTCAGTGGCTTTAATGCAGTTTTGTTGCTATGGCTATATATGTCCTCCAAAGCTGCTATACTATGAAGCATGTCATTCTCATAATGACAAGTTGTTTGTTGTTGTTCAGTCCACCTCGATGTCGAGTCCACCTCTTCGCGACCCCATGGACCACATCAAGCCAGGCCCTCCTGCCTTCCGTCATCCTCTGGTGTTTGCTTAACTTCATGTTTGTTGCATTGATAACACTGTCTAATCATCTCATCCTTTGCCGTTCCCTTCTCCTTTTACCATCAATCTTTCCCAGCATCAGTGAGTGCTCCCTTCTCAAAAGCTGGAGAGGTTAAAGTGGCCTCCAGTGCAAACTGCTACTTGGGGGAAGGGACACTCTATACAAATAAAAAATATACAGATTATAGTCTGTCTGTGCCTGGTCACATCCTATTGAAATTAATTAGAAGTCCATCTTTTCCCTAGAAACACATGGTGTTTAAAATTAATAGTAGTATTAATAGTACCAAAGAACACTATGTTTAAACTTTTTAAAGCTACCATCGTGTCTGATTAACATATCCATTCTGAATCCTTTGGAAGCTTTCTGACAGTCAAATGTGTTGGAATGGAGTCTGTTTCATAAAGTAGACCCCAATCTTTTGTCTGCATTCAACTTCATGTTCAACAAGAAATGAGACAATTTAAATATTTAGGGTTTTAAAAGAAATACTAATGGGGGAAAGCATTTTTATTCAGCAAGACATTATGTGGTCCCATTGGAGTCAGACAGTCTGTGTACTTTCTGAAATTATTAAAGAGCTGTTTCTAAATTGGAGTATAGCTTCATTTTTTTTCTGATGTCGGACACAGAGTTCATTCTTTCCATTTTATTTATTTAAATATGCAAGCCCTACCTCTCCTACATTCAAGGCAGCAACTAAACCATTTGAAAATACAAGCTTTGTAATGCTGATCAAAAGCTAACACAAAAGAACAGTTTGTCAGAGTTTGATAGCTTAATGTCAGTATGCATTATAATACCTTGAAACAGGGCTTTCTTTTGATTCCTACAATGATACTGCAAGCATTGTGTATGATAAGAAACAAAGGCAATTAAAGAACTGCCGCCTCCAAATGATTAAAGGGGACACTCTTAAAATTGTAAGTTGTAATAGCTGTTTGTTTAAAGTTCTCCTTGATTTGACGTGTTAGTGCATGCTGTCATTGCAGTCTTCGGCTTCCTTATGGCATCATTCTGAACACAGAGAGATGTACCAGAAATTGTTGGAGGATATCACTGTGCTGCATCGTTTGGCCTCTAGATTATCTAGCCGGGCTGAAATGGTTGGAGCTGTTCGCCAGGTAAGACTACTCACGTCAAACATCTTTAGGCTTGCCATTTACCTACACATGGTGGGCAAACCCCCACCCTCAAGAAATTGATAAGTGGGGGGGAAAAGGTATAGAAAATGGCCTCCATAGCGATGCTCTAGTAATGTAGCCCATGTATCTATGCTCTTTAACAGAGTTTAGGGGAAATTCCTAGAGCATCACCTGGAAGTGATATGACAGGTTCCTGAAACTCCAACCATCTCCAGGCACTGCCCTAAAAATCTGCTGATATTTTCCAAGGCAGTGCTGGCCTCCCTAAATATCTTGTATTTGTAATTACTTGAAGTTGCCATGTCTTGTGGAAAATCTTGGCTGCAGTCACACTCTGTGCCCCAAAGGAAACCCCCAGATGTGCTACAAACACATGAAACTACTGCATGTTTGATTCACCTACCACCATATTGTGCATTCTGACCATCAGCAACCCTCCAAAGTCTCACACAGATGTCTTTCTCAGCCCAGCTAGACAAGATATTGGGAGGTCTGTGAACACTGTTCTCAGTAGGTGTTTCACCTCAGATAACAGGTGTGCAGGAATCTGATTCCTTGGTTCTTTTAGAAGAAAAATTTATCCAAAAGACAGAAGGGGATGGGCAAGGCAGGCAAATAGCACTGAATCCAATCCACAGCTCTGCCGTGGATGTTCTAGATATTCTTTCCTTTTAAAGAAATGCCTCTGTAGAAGAGAAGGTATCTGCCTTACTTGAAACTTACAATAGCATTCTCATTACAATATGTGCCTGTTTTCATCTCTGGGAGACCATATTTATCAGAATAATTTTCTCTGATAAGTAGCAAGATCTTGCTAGAACTGATGCTGTTTGCTTCATGTTGAAAATATGCTTTTATGTATGCTACATATCTCCTTTGCAGGAGAAGCGCATGTCAAAGGCCACTGAAGTTATGATGCAGTATGTGGAGAATTTGAAGAGAACATATGAAAAGGATCATGCTGAGCTTATGGAGTATAAGAAACTTGCCAATCAGAATTCTAGCAGAAGCTACAGTTCTCCTGGTAAATAGTGTCCTTAATGCTCAATGGTTTTAAAATACCAGTTTGCATTGCTGACTGTCTTGAAGTTGATACTCCTATACCTACATAGATATTAAATGGAGCATCAAAGTACCTGATAAAAAAAGAAATATTTGCAAAAGTTGAGTTTAAGGATTTATTTAGGTCATCTGATTCCTTTAGAAGCTTAAATGGGAAATAATTTCCTTCCAAAACTCTTCTAGACTTATATCAGAGAAGACTAGGCTTGATTAATGCACAATATTCCTTTACATTAATATCCTTATGAGTACCATGAGTCTGTTGGAGAAAAAACTGGCATCAATATTCTGTTGTGGGTTTGTTTTTTGTGTTTTTTTTTACAGAGGATGGTGTTCCACGTACATCTAGATCCATGTCTCTTACAGTTGGAAAGGTATTCTTCCAAGTTTTCAAAGAAATAAAGATATTTAATGAAAATTGTATGCAAATTATGGTTGAAAACCCCCAGGGGCCAAGATATTTCACTGGCTCATGCACCCCAAGCTGTTCTAGTGCCCAATCAAAGGGAAAATCTCATTTTTTGCACAGATTTATATGTAATTTTTGGAATTCCCCAACGTATTTACAATGGTTGCACAGGGTAAAAACACGTGGCCTAAAAGGATAAGCAAAAGTCTTGGGGGATTTTCTGTTTAGAAAATAGATGAGGTAGGGAAGACACAATAGGCGTTTATGAAATTATATGTGGTATGGAGAAAGTCCCAAAATACTACAACTCAGATGCATCCCAGGAACATAATGGACAGTAGATTCTGGATGGACCAGTGAAGGACTTGATGTATTGTATTAGTTAACTTGTGAAACTTGCTGCCATGGGATATGGTGTTGACCACTAACTTAAATGGCTATTAAAAGGGGATTGTAGAGAATAGGCCCATCAATGACTATTTGTCACAATAGGGGAATGGGACCTCATTGTATGCTACCACCAGGGCTTTTTTTGTAGAAAAAGCCCAGCAGGAACTCATTAGCATAATAGGTCACACCCAACAGCATGAACTCATTAGCATATTGGGCCACACCCTGACAGAGTAGCTCATTAGCATATTAGGCCACACCCCACATTACCAGAAGTGTGGTTATCCAGCCACACCCACCTTTTGCTTCTTATTCTGTATACCTTGTTTGTTGTCAAGACCCAGAGGTTTTTTTGTAGCAGGAACCCTTTGCATGTTAGGCCACACACCCCTAATGTAGCCAATCCTAATGAGTTTCTGCAGTTGGGTGTGACCTATTATGCTAATGAGTTCCTGCTGGGCGTGGCCAACTCGGGAGCCAGCCGGAACTCCATTCCTGTGCGTTCCTGCCCAAAAATAGCCCTGGCTACCACCAAACTTCTGAATGCCAACTGCTGGGGAAGGACAGCAGGCAAGGAAGTCTTTGGTCTCTGTGCTCCTGTTGTGGGCCGTCTGGGCTTCTGGAAACAAGGAAGCAAAATGCTGGTCTAGGCATACTACTGGTCTGAGCCACCAAGGCCCTTCTGGTACATTAAGTGTCCCTTGGCTCCTTCCTTTAGTTCTTTATTCTTTTTATTTGTATTTATTTGTTCTTTTTATTTTGATTTGAACAAGCCACTTGTTCATTTCCTTCTGCAGACAATATAGAATTTAATTTTTCCCCACTTGGCTTAAGCATGGCATTACTAGCTCTTATTTAAAATACTAAGAATTCCACAACTAATATTCAAATACTGCCTTTCCCACTGCCAACGACAGCTTCATGTATTGTCATAGAGATGACCACAAATATAGAGGAATAGTTGCTGGACTTGACCAAAAAAAATCATAGAAAATGTCTCTGTACACAGAAAAAAATTTAGCCTGGCCTCTCAGTGAAGCATGCCAAAACAGGAGTCTAGAGACCAGTGTTCCCTCTAAGCTGAGTTAGTATGAGCTTCCAGCTCACGCATTTTTTAGCTTCCAGCTCACGCATTTTAGTCTTAGCTCAGGAAGGATGGCTCCAGAGCAAACTAATTTATGCAGTAGCCAAATCGCTCGCTCACAACTTTAATGCAAGTAGCTCACAAAGTAGAATTTTTGCTCACAAGACTCCACAGCTTACAGGGAGCATTGCTAGAGACCCAGAATAGAATAGCCTTGGAGAGGGTCAAGAAACAAAATAGTAACTTAATTGTACAGCCTTGTGTAGATTAGAAGCTGTCTAACCCATTAGCAATAGATATAATTTGTTGAAGCCCAGGGTGCAGAGAATGTCTGAGTATGGCAGGAATGTCCAACTTCACAGAAGTGGAGATACTGTTTAAAGATGAGTGTGTTGGTTGTGAGCCAAAAGATATTCATATGTATGAGAAACTTCTAATCCCTGTTTTTGAATAGATTTCTTAAAGATAAAAAGTAGCAAGAATGAACTAATAGTAGCAAGAATGAACTTGGTATTTGAAGTTATAAGATAATTAATCAGCCAACGAAGTGCACCCTTATCAAGTGGGATAGTTAGCAATTGTTAGGAAATGATGTTAAAATCCTATAAATAGGGAAAGTTAAGTAGATCGACAGCTTCTTCTCAGAATGGCTTCCTTGCCTGTGACCTGTTAATTATTTTTTCTTTTTCCAATTTTAAAATGTTTATTAAGATCAAGTATAACATTTTAAAACTTACAATACCTTCAAAACATGATGCAGAAGTCTTGAGAATCTGAAATTACAAACCAGTCAGTTTATAACAAATCATTAAACTACATCACGTATAACATAACATTGGCCCCGGTCACACGGAGCATTAGCCACGCAACAGGGACGGAAGATAGGCGGGGTTTCTGGGCGCGATCTTACCAGCACATCTGGGAAGCGTAGTGCTCCCATGGCTCAACCAAGGCTTCCCTCCGAAGATGCGGTTTAAAAAGCTAGTACCTCGGAGGTACTAGTTTCCAGAAACCGCGGGGCAAGGGCAAGCGTCTGATCCCGTTTCCGGAGGTAGTTCCGGTGCCCGCCCATGTCCCCTAGCTAAAAGGTGTTTTTTTCCCCAAGTCTCCACGGATGCGCACAAGCACAAAACGGATCATGCGCAAACGTTAGTTTAATTTTAAAAAACCCCACATAACTTGAGTCATGCAGAGAAGAGGAGAGCAGCCAGAAGAAAGCAACAAAGAGCGCACGGCTTGAGGCGAGCGACAAATAGATAGGGGGAAAGGGGGCAAGGCAGAAGATAAAGCGGCTGAGACGAAGCCCAGAAGAGGGGGGGCACGGCGGTAGAGTAGGAAGTCTACTTGGGGAAGGGGGCACAGCTCAGGAGGGCGGCACCGTGGCCTCGAAGACAGGCGAGCGGAGAAGGAGGCGCGGTCAGGGCGGAGGGGGCTGAGCCATGCTGCTTTGCCCTCTTCGCGCGCCCCACCAGACGGCTCCCCGGACTGTTGCCCTTACAGAACTACTGCCCACCCCCTGCCTGCCTCACTGGATGATCTGCACCTCCCCCTATCCACAGGACCTCCACGGAACCTCCACGGGAGGTCTGATCGCGAAACTGCGTGTTATTTTTCCTCGGGGCAAACAGCCATGCTTCCCCCCCCTGCATTTTTCTGGCCGTGTGACCGGAGCCATAGTAAGACAGTATCAATTTCATTCACCTATCCCACAGTGCTGTTTGAGCCATAAATTCCAATGAATTGAGTCAAGTCTAAAATACCATATGGACTCATGTGATTACTCCCCTTTATTTATGTATGTACCAATGTTGGATGAATGGATGGTATACTGTTTTGTTGGTTTAGTTAGTGTTAAGAATACAATAGTTATACTTTAATAAAAAGCTTAAAATAGAAGCAGAGATTCTCTATTAGTATTTACTTATGTACTGTACCTTTAATGAGCCTAAAATGTTATTGAAGTGTGCCTATAGCTAGGAATGTAATGATCTGTTGTAGGAAAGCTAACTAGATACCTAGAGCCCATTTATTATTTTATTTAATTCATTTATATCCTGCCTTTCTCCCCAGTGGGGACCCAAAGTAGTTTACATCATTATCTTCTCCTCGTCTCCTCCATTTTATCCTTAGGTTAGGCTGAGCTTTGTGACTGGCCCATGGTCATCCAACAAGCTTCCATGGCACAAGTGGAGATTCAAATCTCAGTCTCCTCAATACTGGTCCAACACTCTTAACCACTACACCACACTGACTTCTTAAGTGCATGTCTATATTGGAATCAGGCCTAGCTAGAGTTATCCAGAACAGCATGAACAGTAGCCAGATATGTTGCCTTCATAGCTGCAAAGATAGAACTGTACTGGCAAAATTGAAAATTGGCTCGAGTCAAATGAGAGGACTCATAAACTCTGTGCTTTCTGATTGTCCGGTAGCATATTTCCGGTTTCACTAACTAACATTTAAAATAAACCTTCTTATTGCATCTGAACTACCCCTAACGGTAAATAAGTCACTTTTATTATAATGTTGCTAGTCACAATTTCCCTGTGATTTCCTCTGTGTTACATCTGTAGAAGTATTCCTTGTTATAATCAGTGTAATGAAATGCATTTTTATTATAGGCACCTCGGAGGAGAGTCAGTGTTGCTGTTGTTTCAAAATTTGAAATCCCAGGCCAGTCACCTAGCATGTCACCCATTCCTTTGATGCCATCCATGGTAACTTTGCATTTTTAAAGTTCTGCAATGATGAATTTTTTAAGAGTGATTGCTGCATTTTTTATAAATGCACTGTATTGAATAGATTCAGTTGTATTGAAAAACTCAAGTATTAGGTTTACTATATAAGCCATGGGAAGAGTAGGAAAGTTACCGTTCATTAAACCTAACATCAGCTCTTCAGACATTTAATTATGAATTATTGGAGAATTTTATTTGATGTACATCGAGTATGTCTTCATGTAGAAAATGCAAACAGTTTTAGTGTTGCTGTTTGGAATTAAATTGAATTGTAAAATTCTTTATTTACAGACTGAATCAACAAATGGAAGAAACAATCTGACAACAACTTCTGTCTTACCCGCACTTTTAGAGAAGTGAGTTCACAGTCTTTTCTCCTGTATTGGGATTTATTTAGCATACGATTTATGGTGGAACTAGAAATAAGGCCCGTTGTGGAAATAAATACAATGGGATCTAGAAAGAGGCTCTGGGAGTGTGCTCTGGCTTTGGGCAAACAGTGTCAGTCTGCTTTTAAAACATGAATCTGGGACCTGCACACCACCAGAATACAGCAGATTCCATATGCAACTGACATTCCAACTGCCTTGCGGGGGGGGGGGTTGAGGTGTGGAATGGAGTGAAGTCCAATCAGCTTCCATATGCAAAAGACCAGGTTGTCGCAGCAGTTGTGGTGTGGGCGGGACCCGGGCTTTGCCTTCTGATTGGTGGCGATATATGCTGAGGAGCAGTGCCATCAGCCATACACTAAGGGAGTCCATTTTAGAATTAGAACTTTGGCACCCACTATTCAATTATATATAAGGATGATTTATGGTGGAATATGTATCTTTGTTTTCTTAAAAGAATGTAAAACCATAGCATAAGAGAGAGATAATCATCAATAAAAGTAGATTGTTTAAAGATTGTTCTTTCTTAAGGTTCACTTCAGTAACTGGGTAAAACACTCTTCAGTGTTCCCTATAGAAAGGATGTTATAGCCTGATTCTATGTGCTTATTTACTCAGAAATAAGGCCCACTAAATTCAGTGGGACATTCCCACATTGTGTGCACATAGGAGACCAGCCTTAGATTTGAATTAGAAGTAATACACTTCAGGTTGTATTGAGACAAAGGCTTTTAGTGTGCCCTATGTCACTGCTCTCAGCAAGATTAGAGTTGAGACTCAATGTATAAGTCTAGAGGCTGGATCCAGTGATTTGCTTGTACAGTGATTGCAGATCTTCCCTGCTTTCCACGTTCCCCAGCAGTCCTTTCTGACCCTGGGAAAGTTTATTCCTGGAGTTGCCGGACCTGCATGAAGGGTTGGTAGACTACAGTGAAGGGGGCAAAGGTGCTCCCTCCATCTTCTTCCTTCCATCAGTGGAGTGCTTCTGCCTAAAGAAGGGTCCCCCTTCTCCTTTCTCCCTCCAGCCCACCAACCAACATGGGGCTTCTTGACTGGTGCCTCTCCTTAAATGGAATACATTAGGATCTATTCATGCTAAAATAGATCCTGTTCCTCCTGCAGTTTCTGCAGTTAGAGAATTATGGCATATAATGTCACAACAGTGTCAAGTTGACCCTTGTCTAAATGCTAAATTAACACTATGGGCCAATCCAGATTTAAAAATTAGGAAGAGATCTTTTTAAGGGAAGGTTTGGACAGACAGATCTTTACTTTGGACCAATTAATAGACTGTCAATCACTACCATTTTTTGTTATTTTCTCAAATGAGGTCTAGTTCTGAAGTGTCAGCCTCTGTTGAATGGCAATATTTTCATCTGCAGTATCTGCTGGTATCTACTGCTGGAAACTCTCATTGAATCAATGCAGAAAATGAAACCTACAGCGTATATAGTGATATGTGACTCCATATGCAGATACCTAAATCTGCGGATCAGGACCACACCAACAGTTATATCTTTTTTCCTCCTCTTTCCAGGCTATCTGAACTGTTTCCTTCTTAGTTTGTTGCATCAGCATTTCTGTTTCCTCTTGTGTAGAGTTAAAAATTTCTTTGACTGCCCTCTTTACAACTACCATAGCTGCAGCCATGTCTGCATGGGCAGTCTCAGCTGGCTCCTGCATCGGGGCACATTCAGATCTCCGCCCGCTCGCTGCCACTTGCCGAGGGGTCCAAATCAAGCCCCTTGCAATGAGCTCCTCTACAGGGATCTCATTGGAGTTCAGGAACCCCCGAACCCCTCTAAGGAAGCCGGTGATCTGGTCAACACTCGGGAGAGCTTCCCGGTGCAACCGTTCTTGTCGCACTGAAACCCTTGTCTCCATATATCAGAAAAGATATTGCAGAGCTGGAAAAAGTGCCGAGGAGGGCAACCAAGATGATTCGGGAGTTGGAGCACCTTTCCTATGAGGAAAGGCTGAAGAGTCTGGGACTTCTAAGTTTAGAAAATAGACGACTAACGGGGGACATGATAGAGGTTTATTAAATTATGCATGGGATGGAGAGTGTTGACAATGAGGACTTTTTCTCTCTCTCCCAAAGTACTAGAACTTGAGGGCATCTAATGTGACTGATGGACAGTAGGTTCAGGATGGGCAAAAGGAAATACTTCTTTACAGAGAGTGCTTAAAATGTGGAATTTGCTGCCAGAGTATGTAGTGATAGCCACAGGAATAAACATCTTTAAAGGGGGAATTAGATAGATTCATGGAGGACAAGTCTATCAATGGCTACTAGCCATGGTGACTGAGGGGCACATTCAGAGGCACTAATCTTCTGAACCAGAAGGCAACATCAGGGGAAGGCCTTAGCCGCTATGCTCTGTTGTTGGCCATCCAGAGGAACTGGTTAGCCACTGTGTGAGACAGGATGCTGGACTAGATGGACCATTGGTCTGATCCAGCAGGGCTCTTCTTATGTTCTTAAAAAAGACTGTGGCCGTATATGGAGCAAGAAATGCCAGGTGTCTACACTGGATTCAGAAGATTGCAAATTTACATTGGTTACTTGAGCATATCAGAGAATTTCAGAAGAAAATGAGCTTGTTTTTCATAGATTACAGCAAAGTGTTTGATTGTGTGGATCCTAAAAATCTGCAGCTGCCTTTCAAAGAAATGGGTGCACCACAACATCTGATTGTTTGGCTGTGCAACCTGCACTCTAGACAATATGCAACTGTTAGGACAGAATATGGAGAAACAGAATGGTTTCTAATTGGCAAAGGTATCAGACAAGGATGTATTTTATCTTTCTGGTTTTTCAATCTATATGCAGAGCATATCATAAAGAAAGCTGGATTGGATTTAGATGAAGGTGTGAGCCGAGACAAAGATCTGTGAGCCGGAGGCTTAAAAACTGTGAGCTAGCTCACGCTAACTCAGCTTAGAGGGAACATTGGTTAGGACAGAATATGGAGAAACAGAATGGTTTCCAATTGGCAAAGGTATCAGACAAGGATGTATTTTATCTTTCTGGTTTTTCAATCTATATGCAGAGCATATCATAAAGAAAGCTGGATTGGATTTAGATGAAGGTGGAGTGAAAACTGGTGGAAGACACGTTAACAATATGAGATATGTAGATGATACCACATTCTGGCAGAAAATAGTGAAAACTTGAAATGACTACTGCTGAAGATTAAAGCAGAAAGTGCCAAAACTGGATTACAGCTGTACATCAAGAAGACAAAAGTAATGACTACTGAGCAGAGGTCGATTCGGGGGGGATTGCGGGGGATCGCAGTTCCCCCGGGTGAGGTGCAGGGGGCGGGGCACACGACGAAGCCCCACCCCCTTCTTACGGCCGCCCCGTGCTTCCAGCCTCATTCTGTTGCAGAAGGAGGAAGAAGCAGGAGGGTAAGTTGGCATCCTCCCCCTCTGCCTGGCCGAGGCCACTCCACGTGGCCTCCGCAAGGATTCCCAGCCCCATCCAGGAGCTTCCCCGAGGTAGCTGTGTTAGTCTGTTGCTGCAAAATAGTCCAAGAGTTCAAATAGCACCTTTAAGACTAACAAATAGCACCTTTAAGACTAACCTTTAAGACTAAGACTAACTGAGTGGTGGGTGTGGCCTTATGACCAGTGTTCCCTCTAAGCTGAGTTAGTGTGAGCTAGCTCACGGTTTTTTAGCCTCCGGCTCACACATTTTTGACTCAGCTCAGGAAGGATGGCTCCAGAGCAAACTAATTTATACAGTGGCCAAATCGTTCGCTCACAACTTTAATGCCAGTAGCTCACAAAGTAGAATTTTTGCTCACAAGACTCCACAGCTTAGAGGGAACATTGCTTATGACACACTTCCGGTGATGTCAGGGGTGTGGCATATGCTAATGAGTCATGCTAATGAGTTCCCCTAGCTCTTTTTCAACGAAACGACCCCTGCTACTGAGGAATTATACAACTTTAAGGTTGACGATGAAGACATTTCAGTTGTTCAAGATTTTCTGTCCTGGACTCCATCATCAACCAAAAGGGAGACTGCAACCAAGGAATCAGAAGGAGATTGAGACTGGGAAGGGCAGCCATGAAGGATCTAGAAAAAATTTTCAAGTGTAAGGAAGTGTCATTGTGACCAAGATCAAGATAATTCGTACTATAATATTTTCCATTACTATGTATGGGTGTGAAAGTTGGGCAGTGAAGGAAGCTGATGGAAAGATAGTTGATTCACTTGAAATGTGGTATTGGATGAGAGTTTTACAGATACCATGGACTGCCAAATAGGTAAGTGGGTTCTAGATGAAATCAAGCCTGAACTCTCCCTAGAAGCTAAAATGACCAAATTGAGGCTGTAGTATTTTGGTCATATTATGAGAAGACAAGACTCACTGGAAAAGACAATAATGCTGGGAAAAGTTGAAGGCAACAGGAAAAGAGGAAGACCCAACATGAGATGGATTGACCCAATGAAGGAAGCCACTGCCTTCAGTTTGCAAGATTTGAGCAAAGCAGCTAACGTTAGTGCTTTTGGAGGTTGCTAATTCATAGTGTCATGTATGGCTGTGAGAGTTGGACTATAAGGAAGGCCGAGCGCCGAAGAATAGATTATTTTGAACTATGGTGCTGGAGAAGACTTTTGAGAGTCCCTTGGACTGCAAAAAGATCAAATCAGTCAGTCCTAAAAGAAATCAACCCTGACTGTTCCTTGGAAGGCCAGATAATGAAACTGAAGCTCAAGTGCTTTGGCCACCAAATGAGAAGGGAGCACTCACTGGAGAAGACCCTGATGCTGGGAAAGATTGAAGGTCAAAGAAGACGGGGACGGCAAAGGATGAGATGGTGAGACATAGATGCAAGGAACATGAAGTTGAGCAAACTTCAGAGGATGGCGGAAGACCGGAAGGCCTGACGGGAGCTGGTCCATGGGGTCGCAAAGAGTCGGACTCGACTGTGCGACTGAACAACAA